TGTGTATCTCTATGAGTCGTTGTGAGTATCTATGTATCTCTATGAGTCTGTGTGTATCTCTATGAGTCTCTATGAGTCTGTGTGTATCTCTATGAGTCTCTATGTATCTCTATGAGTCTTTGTGAGTATTTATGGATCTCTATGAGTCTGTGTGTATCTCTATGAGTCTCTACGAGCCTGTGTGTATCTCTATGAGTCTTTGTGAGTATTTATGGATCTCTATGAGTCTGTGTGTATCTCTATGAGTCTCTATGAGTCTGTGTATCTCTATGTGTCTGTGTGTATCTCTATGAGTCTTTGTGAGTCTCAATGTATCTCTACGAGTCTGTGTGTATCTCTATGAGTCTCTATGAGTCTGTGTATCTCTACGAGTCTGTGTGTATCTCTATGAGTCTCTATGAGTCTGTGTATCTCTATGAGTCTGTGTGTATCTCTATGAGTCTCAATGTATCTCTACGAGTCTGTGTGTATCTCTATGAGTCTCTATGAGTCTGTGTATCTCTACGAGCCTGTGTATCTCTATGAGTCTCTATGTATCTCTATGAGTCTCTATGAGTCTGTGTATCTCTATGCGTCTCTATCTACCTCTCTGAGTGTTTGTGGGTCTCCATGAGCATGTGACAGTGTTCGAACCGCGGCGATCCGAGTTCGATGATCCGAACCGCACCACGGACATTCCCCCCCGTAGGTCGACTCAGCCTCAAATGCGCACCTTGGTGTGATGTGTAGACATCAGCACTGGGGAGACAAAGGCGGCCGGAGGTGGTGGAGGCTACCCCAACCCCCTCGTGTGCCCAGGGATGGCCGTCATAGGATCGACTCGCTAACAGCACTTTCCCCTACAGTCTGTTAAGGAGTTTTTGTATCGTGTGACAATCTACGCATGATTTGTACGTATGCATACACATATAACAGTATATAGTTGAATACACAAGTGTGTGTGTGTGTACACTCTCACTGCAAGTGTGCGTGTGTCAATATGTCTTTGTGTCAGTGTGCCAGTATCCGTGTTTGTGAGTTTTAATGTCAGTGTCTGTGTGTTTGTGTATATGTGTGTTGTGTCTGTGTGTTTGTCTCTGTGGTTTAGTGTCTGTCTGTGCCATTGTTAGTGTGTGTGTCATTGTGTATTTGTGTGTCGTCAATGCTCCTGCGTCAATACGTCTGGCGGTATATGCGTGTCCGTGATTGTATCAGTGGTTGTGTGTGTGTTTGTGTCAGTGTGTGTGTGTCTGTGATTGTATCAGTGTTTGTGTGTGTGTCCGTGTTTGTGTGTGTGTTTGTATCAGTGTGTGTGTCCGTGTTTGTGTGTGTGTATCAGTGTTTGTGTGCGTGTTTGTGTCAGTGGTTGTGTGTGTCCGTGTTTGTCCGTGTTTGTGTGCTTGTTTGTGTGTCCGTGTTTGAATCAGTGGTTGTGTGTGTGTTTTTTAATCAGTGTGTGTGTGTCCGTGTTTGAATCAGTGGTTGTGTGTGTGTTTGTGTCAGTGTGTGTGTGTCTGTGATTGTATCAGTGTTTGTGTGTCCGTGTTTGTGTGTGTGTGTTTGTATCAGTGTTTGTGTGCGTGTTTGTGTCAGTGGTTGTGTGTGTCCGTGTTTGTCCGTGTTTGTGTCCTTGGTTGTGTGTCCGTGTTTGTATCAGTGTTAGTGTGTGTGTTTGTATCAGTGTTAGTGTGTGTGTTTGTATCAGTGTTTGTGTGTGTGTATCAGTGGTTGTGTGTTTGTGTCCGTGTTTGTATCAGTGGTGTGTGTGTGCGTCTATGTGTGTATCAGTGGCTGTGTGTTTGTATGTCCGTGTTTGTATCAGTGGCTGTGTGTGTGTGTCCGTGTTTGTATCAGTGTCTGTGTGTGTGTTTGTATCAGTGGTTGTGTGTTTGTGTGTATTTGTATCAGTGTTTGTGTGTGTGTCCGTGTTGGTATCAGTGTTTGTGTGTGTGCGTCTGTGTTTGCGTATTTTGGAAGTGTGTGTCAGCGTCTGGGTGTATCAGTGTCCGTTAGTGACTGTGTGTGTGTGTATGTCGGTGTGCGTGTGTCAGTGTGTGTGTGTGGGCCCCCGACGATTATCCGAACCGGTCCTGGGCCTCCCCTAGGTCGACTCAGCCTCAACTGAGTACCTAGCACGATGTGTAAACACATTGCTACAAGAGAGACAAAGGCGGCCGGGCGTGGTGCAGGCCACCCACCCCCTCGTGTGCCGTGCCGGCCTTTAATAGCCGCTCCGCTAACAGCACTTGCCCCAACAGTCTGTTAAGGCTACACGGGGGGTCTTTGTCTGTGTGCGCACGTGTATCATTGTCTGAGAATCATTATCTGTGCGTGCCAGTGTGTCTGCGCGCGTGTGTTTAAGTACGAACGTGTGTTTTCATGTCTGTGTATGTATCATGAACTTCTTTCGCTCCGTACGTAGCCAAGTGTCTTTAACAATGCGCGTGTGTGTGCTGTTTAGGGCGTGCCAATGTCAAACCGTGTCAGACTGTGCCAGTGTCTGTACAAGTGCGTGTGTGTGTGTACCAGTGTCCCTGTTCCACCAGTGTGTCTGTATGTTGGTGTGTGTGTGTCAGTGTGCCAGTGTGTCTGCTTCAGTGGGGCTGTGTGTGTCTGCCAGAGTCACTTAGCATGTACCAGTGTTGGTCAGTTTATGTCATTGTTCGTGTGTTAGTGCCCGCGCGTCTCTCTGTGTGTGTCATTGTGCCGGTATCTGTACCGGTGTGTCTGTGTTTGCTTGTGCCAGTATGGGTGTCAGTGTCACCAAGTGTGTGCCAGTGTGTCTGTCTGTGTGCCAGTGTGTCTGTCTGTGTGCCAGTGTGTCTGTGTGTTAGGGTGTCTGTCTGTGTGTTAGGGTGTCTGTCTGTGTGCCAGTGTGTCTGTGTCAGTGTGTCTGTCTGTGTGTCAGTGTGTCTGTGTGCAAGTGTCACCAAGTGTGTGTCAGTGTGTCTGTGTGCCAGTGTCACCAAGTGTGTGCCAGTGTGTCTGTCTGTGTGTCAGTGTGTCTGTGTGCAAGTGTCACCGAGTGTGTGTCAGTGTGTCTGTCTGTGTGTCAGTGTGTCTGTGTGCAAGTGTCACCAAGTGTGTGTCAGTGTGTCTGTCTGTGTGTCAGTGTGTCTGTGTGCAAGTGTCACCTAGTGTGTGTCAGTGTGTCTGTCTGTGTGTCTGTGTGTCTGTGTGCAAGTGTCACCGAGTATGTGTCAGTGTGTCTGTGTCTGTGTGTAAGTGTCACCAAGTGTGTGTCAGTGTGTCTGTGTGCCAGTGTCACCAAGTGTGTGTTAGGGTGTCTGTGTGCAAGTGTCACCGAGTATGTGTCAGTGTGTCTGCGTCTGTGTGTAAGTGTCGCCAAGTGTGTGTCAGTGTGTCTGTCTGTGTGTCAGTGTGTCTGTGTGCCAGTGTCATCTAGTGTGTGTTAGGGTGTCTGTGTCTGTGTGTAAGTGTCGCCAAGTGTGTGTCAGTGTGTCTGTGTGCAAGTGTCATCTAGTGTGTGTTAGGGTGTCTGTGTCTGTGTGCAAGTGTCATCTAGTGTGTGTTAGGGTGTCTGTGTGCAAGTGTCACCGAGTGTGTGTCTGTCTGTGTGTCAGTGTGTCTGTGTGCAAGTGTCACCTAGTGTGTGTTAGGGTGTCTGTGTGCCAGTGTCACCTAGTGTGTGTTAGGGTGTCTGTGTCTGTGTGTAAGTGTCGCCGAGTGTGTGTCATTGTGTCTGTGTGCCAGTGTGTCTGTGTGCCAGTGTCACCGAGTGTGTGTCAGTGTGTCTGTGTGTAAGTGTCACCAAGTGTGTGTCAGTGTGTCTGTCTGTGTGCCAGTGTGTCTGTGTGTAAGTGTCACCGAGTGTGTGTCAGTGTGTCTGTGTCTGTCTGTCAGTGTGTCAGTGTGTCTGTGTGCAAGTGTCACCGAGTGTGTGTCAATGTGTCTGTGTGTCAGTGTCACCAAGTGTGTGTCAGTGTGTCTGTGTGTCAGTGTGTCTGTGTGCAAGTGTCACCGAGTGTGTGTCAGTGTGTCTGTGTGTCAGTGTCACCAAGTGTGTGTCAGTGTGTCTGTGTGTCAGTGTCACCAAGTGTGTGTCAGTGTGTCTGTCTGTCAGTGTGTCAGTGTGTCTGTGTGCAAGTGGCACCGAGTGTGTGTCAGTGTGTCTGTGTGCCAGTGTGTCTGTGTGCCAGTGTGTCTGTGTGCCAGTGTGTCTGTGTGTAAGTGTCACCAAGTGTGTGTCAGTGTGTCTGTGTGCAAGTGTCACCAAGTGTGTGTCAGTGTGTCTGTGTGCCAGTGTCACCAAGTGTGTGTCTGTGTCTGTGTGTCAGTGTCTGTGTGTAAGTGTCACCGAGTGTGTGTCTGTGTGTCTGTGTGCCAGTGTGTCTGTGTGTCAGTGTGTCTGTGTGCCAGTGTCACCAAGTGTGTGTCTGTGTCTGTGTGTCAGTGTCTGTGTGTAAGTGTCACCGAGTGTGTGTCTGTGTGTCTGTGTGCCAGTGTGTCTGTGTGTCAGTGTGTCTGTCTGTCAGTGTGTCTGTGTGTGTCACCGACTGTGTGCCAGTTTATGCATGTAGAACTTATTTCGTACCGTAGGTGGCTCAACCGCGCTAAAAGGAGGTGCGACACGCAGACACGGTGTCTGTGTGCCTGCCAGTGTCACCGTGTGTCAGTGTGTCTGTGTCTGTGTGCAAGTGTCACCAAGTGTGTGTCAGTGTGTCTGTGTGCCTGCCAGTGTCACCGTGTGTCAGTGTGTCAGTGTGTCTGTGTGCCAGTGTCACCGTGTGTGTCAGTGTGTCTGTGTGCCTGCCAGTGTCACCGAGTGTGTGTCAGTGTGTCTGTGTGCCAGCATCACCGAGCGTGTACCAGCGTGCCAGTGTGTGTGTGTGTGTGCCAGTCTCACAGAGTGTGTATATCTTGCGTGTGCCAGTGTCACCGACTGTGTGCCAGTGTGTCTGCGTGCCAGTGTGCCAGTGTGTCTGCGTGCCAGTGCGTGTGTGAGTGTCAGTGTGTTCACGCACTCTCCACAAGTGTGTGTGTGTGTCCCGTGCACTCACTAGATCCGATGTGCCGTTCGCACCCGTATCATGTGGATGGCGGTCAGCGGTACCATTTCGGGGGGGGCCTTGGGGTGGGGGGGGTAGGCGACTGATCGCCTCTTCTCCTCCTCCTCCTGCTGCTGCTTCTTCTTCTTCTCTCCACCGCTCTCCCAATTCCTCTCTGTCGCTTGTGGCACCGTCTCCCCCCCACTCACACTCTCAGCGGCTCACCACCACCACCACCCTCCTCCTGAACCCTCTCGTCTCCCCGCGGCGCCCTCCCTAATTCGTGCGACGCAACACGTATTTAAATATATATACGAGCGAGCGTGCGTGTGTGACTCTTATAACGTAACGCACACACACACACCACGCACTTTAACAGTTTTGATTGACAGAAGGCTGGGAGCGAGAGACGCATGGGCAGGACACGCCCACTCGTTCTCTGGTCACGCCCACTCGCACTCTGCCCCCCCCACTGCCCGCTGGAGCGCGGCTCAAACCCCGCCCGCTCATCTAGAGGCCACGCCCCCTCCCCCCGTACGAGCCAAGCGCGCGCGAGCCTCTCCGGGGCGCCACGCCCCTCAAAAATTTTGAGCCCCGCCCACACCCCCCTCCCCGGCCCCGACGGTGACCACGCCTACTTACAACAAGACGACGCCATCCGCTTAGAAAGCCACGCCCACGTGTAATTTAGCCACACCCTTCATAATTACCCATCCCTCTCATCCCTCATTCACCCGTCCACCCGTACATCACTCCCTCTCCCCTTCATCTCTACTGGCCCGCCCTCCCTCCGCTCCACATCACTCCTCCACCACCAGTAGCATCACCCCTCCCATCATCATCATCCCTCCTCCCCCTCCATCCACCCCTCCACCCAACGTTACCCCCCCCTCCTCTTCCCTCACCATCATCACTACTCCTCCCCATTACTCCTCTCCCCGCCCTCCCCATCATCCGCCTTGCACCCATCACTCCTCCCCGCTTCACCACCAATCCTCCCACCAATACCCCCACCTCCCCATCACCCTTGTTGCCCCCATCACCCCTCCCCCCATCACCCCACCCCCCATCACCCCTCCCTCCTATAATCTCGGCCACTGCGTGGTCATGGCACCGGTTGCGCGTCATTGGAACGAGTCACGTGGCTCCCTTAAAGAGACCGGTCGGACTTTTTTGGGTGGAGTCTGCGGAGTGGTGGGGGAGAGGAGGGGGCAAGGGGTGGGGGGAGGGGGGGTTTGGGGGGTAATTATTGCAGAGTGGATAGAGTTGGGTGGACGTTCTGATCGGCTGATTGTAACTCTAGGGAACACGTCGCAAAAAAAACTAAAGTTTTGGATGCAGTGGCGCAGTAGATTAGGGGCATCACTGCGATGTTGAACCTGGCGATCTGAGTTGGATTCTGGGCGGTGAGTGAGTAATATCTAAACCCGATCCTGTCTCCCTCCCCCCCTTCAACGCGTACTGGCCAACGTAAAGTAGCTTGAAGTATGGTTCAATAACCCCCCACACCCACCCCTCGCCATGAAGAACGCCGCATTAATCCAGAAGTGAATTGACAAAGAGCTGTGACAGTATTATTATAATAATATTTTATTATCGCATGGATGTGTGTGTGTGGCTGGTGCTGCGTCTGTGATCCAGCGCTTTTGCATGAGAGGGTTGATGGATCATGTAAGAGAGTTGTGAAAACTTCCCCAAACTCGCTCAGCTGCGAGGGTGGCAGCACAGCAAGTGGGATCGTGAGTGAACCCCCGTATGTATAGCGGGGACGTTCAAGAGTGTTCTCCCCCCGTATGCTTGCTGGGTTTTCTTCGGTGTCACAAACCAAAATTCTCATTAATGGAGCTGGTCAAACATTAACCTAGTTTACTACGCAGTAAACGTGGTCTGAAACATATATAACTTACTCATAATCAACCATGATCTATCCACTGCAGGATAAAGGCCTCCAACATAAGCCATCAGTTACCATCTGCCACGAGACGTCTCATCTGTGTTCCCTCCTTTGGCACGGCCACTCGCCACCCATCCCATCCCTTCCATCACCACCACAATCCCTTCCACTTGCAGGTATCCTCCTGCCCATGCGCACACTTTTCTTAAGTCAACATGAAGTGCTATGTTCTCTGATATGTTTACCAACGAGATATAACCACAAATAAGTCATACCGTATAGTGCGTATGCTACGTGTGCGCGCGCACACACATACATGCGGAGACAACAGATCCAGACTTTCACAAACTGTTGGGGCAAATGCTACCGGCGAGTGCTTATACACGCGCAGGCCACGTCCAGAGCAGCAAGGTATAATCACGCACATTCACCTCGTTATGTTGTGCACGTTGTTATTGGCCAGCGCACTCCACGTACATCTTACACGATGGGGGTGCCCTGTCCAAGTATAACAAACAAACAAACATCTAGCGGTGCGGTTTGAAAGAAAATCACGGATCGGTCGGTGGTGGAGCATTTGCGGGCATTTCAGCAAAAAAAGGTCAGTTTGTGTATACAGGTGAAAATGTCTTATCTAATCGCCTTCTTGTGAAGTCACTGAGAAATATAAAATCATTAACATCAGCCACGATCAATAGACTGCCCAGATGAACGTCTTCCCCAAGTCGCTACCATCTCTCGATGTAGCAAATGCAAAGATCCCCCGCGTAGCCTTAACAGATTTGTGGGGCAAGTGCTGTTAGCGGGAAGCACCTATCAAGGCCGGCACGGCGCACGAGCGGGTGGGTGGCCAGCGCCACGCCCGGCCGCCTTTGTCTCCATTCGTGGCGATATTTTCGCCACGAATGGAGGTGCGGGCTAATCCGTACCTCCGAATAGCCCGCACCTTCCGATTTGCACGGTTGGCTACGTAGGGTGCGAAAGAAGTTCAACATAGATACATTCATATTTTACACACTAGCACCAGATACTCATTTGAGGCCGAGTCAACCTAGGGGAGGCCCAGGAACGGTTCAGATAATCGTCACTCGGTGGTTGGTGGCCGTGAGCCGGGGGGGTCGCCCGCTTCATCACTATCCACCGAGCACCTCCAGACGAGCGAATGTCATGGCCAGGGCTGGCAATGTGAAGACACCATATTTGAGGAGAAGCTTCGCTCTGTGTGTGGGTCTCTGAGCGTGCCTGTGGGTCTCCATGCGTGTCTGTGGGTCTCTTGTGCGTGTCTGTGGGTTTCTGTGCGCGTCTGGGGGTTTATGTTCGTGTCTGTGGATCTCTGTGCGTGTCTGTGGATCTCTGTGCGGGTCTGTGGATCACTGTGCGCGTCTATAGGTCTGTGTCTCCGGGTTTTTGTGCGTGTCTGTGAGTTTATGTGCGTGTCTGTGGATCTCTGTGCGTGTTTCTGGACCTCTGTACGTGTCTGTTGATCTTTTGAGCGTGTCTGTGGGTTTATGGGTCTGTGTCTCTGGGTTTCTGTGTCTGTGGATCACTATGCGTGTATGTGGATATCTGTGCGTGTCTGTGGCTCTCTGTGAGTGTCTCTGGGTTTGTGTATGTGTATCTCTGTGCGTGTCTCTGGGTGTCTCCGTTAGTCTAGGGGGTCTGTGAGTCGAAACAAACAGTCCAACTTTGATTCCTTCTGGAACGTCGGGGTTCAAATTTTCACTCCCACCACGGCGCTCTGGCCAATTTCCACCACTGGTCATCCATCACTCCGTCTCCTCGGTGGACGTTCGAACTCACCTTCGGAGGCTGATGTTAGCCGGTCACGTCAGTGGCAAGTGATATCTGATGCCCACCGCCCCGATCACTCACCCGCACTCACCGGCGTGATAAAGTATGGTTAATTAAGCTCCACGGCTGACATGGTGCGGGGAGATCCACCTCCTGCAGTGGAATGATGGGTGGCTGCACATGTATTGATATTTCCACGTATTATATAATTTTCGTTATTTATGTCTGCTTTCAAATGTGATAATAGCCGCGGCCTGGATTCGAACTCAGGTTGCCCGAGTTCAAAACGCAGCGCGCTAACCATTGCACGCACCACCACTCCACCCCCAATGTGTTTGCGTTAACCCATGTATAATTAATTGCTTTATGAATTCATCTGCTCGTTTAGTGTCGTGAGTTATGTTTCAAGGAAAATAGATTTGTTTTTACTTCGTTAAAATAAGGAGGGGGTCTGACATTCGTGTTTAATGGTCGCGTTTATCGGCCGTGGTGGAGCGGTGACACAATGATTCACGCGCGCTTGCGTTATTAACTACCAGAAAGTTCGAACCCCAGGAGAGAGTGATGTCCGAGATGGTCCTGGTCCTCCTCTCTCGACCAGCGTGGTGAAGTACGGCCAAACAACCACCCCGCAAAGACCAATCTTCATCCGGCGGTGGATTGAAAACAAGGATTTGCAAATCTTGATTTAAAGCTTTCGTGACTGCAGTAATTCATATTCTTAGTTCTTTCGGTAAAGTCACGTTGAAGAGAAACAACAAAATAACAAAATATATATGTTTTAAACAACAAAAACAACAAAATAACAAAATATACAACAAAATATATATGTTTTATATATATTTTGTTATTTTGTTGTTTCTCTTCAACGTGACTTTACCGAAAAAACTAAGAATATGATTTGCAAATCGTTTATTTAAAATCAACTCTTCGTGAGACAGTTTGTGCTTATGTTTAGTTAATCCTAGCTTTATAAAACGAAAACGTAAAAAAAAAATGCAGTGATGTATTATATATGGGCTATTACAGTAGCCTTTTAACACTGTGTATCGGCTCTTGGAAGCTAATCAAGTTTGAGCCTGGTTAGTACCTCTGCTGGGGACTACCTCGTAGCAACCACGTGTTGTTGATTTTGGGGCTGTGAGGTGGCCAGCAGATGGCGGCTATAGCAGTGGATTCTTGAATCCGTCTGTGCGGGGGGGGGGGGGGGATTTTTTTGGATGTCACCCCTCATGCGCGTGGTGGGTTCTCTCCGGGTCCCTCCCACACGGAAGCCCATTCATTAATAAATAAAGTAGTAATTTGGGCAAATATCTTTCGGTAGCGGCAGGACCCTCGTGAACCACGGGGCTTGAGACTGAGGCTCACCCACGTACATCGCAGGAACCATTATTAATATGATGAGTACAGAACCCGTTGTTGCTCTGCAAATGGAAAATATTCAAGCTGTCTTGCTCATACCCTTCTCACTACCATCCTGTACTCTGAGCCCCGAAATTACGGTAATCTGCTTTTGTATGTCATGAAACGGCGAGACCAAAATGTATTGAGGTTTGTTTGTTTTAAAATGTTCTCTAGGATTTAAATAATTATTCTGGCGAAAGAACTGCAACAACAACAACACGAGGACAAAATGAGCGGTTTAGAGGGATTTTAAATTAACCTCTCGTTCAGTCTTGTCTTCATTACTCCCACCCCCGTCGGTGTCCGCTATATCAGTTAA